GAAATATTCTGGTTCATGAAGCTTACCAAAACAATTATAGTCACATTGATGCAATTAGAAATACTGTGGAATGCTAAGACAGGATTCACGAGAGCCGTGAAGAATGAACTTAGACACAAATGTTAGCGGCTAGCAGGGAGAATGTCATGATATGCCACACAAAGCAGTGCAGCAATTCAAGCCTCATCAAATGGTTGTGAATATTCATAAACCGCTCAAGACTGTTAAAAATATAATACATTATTAATATAGGGGTCTAACTTTCACTCTAAATTTAGACATTCCTCCAGTATCAAATATGATTTATCCTGATCCTTATCCGTTTCATTGCTTGTACATATCCCAGGTGGACAGTGTGATGGTGTTTGTAATTTCCATTTTTTAATCCTTTCTGTCCTCCAGGCAGAGAATTGTTTGAAGCCATAAGACCATAAGACGTAGGAGCAGGAGTAGGCCATTCAGCCCCTCGAGCCTGCCCCGCTATTTAATAAGATCATAACTGATCTAACCTAATTCTATTTACCCGCCCTATCCCCATATCCCTTAATCTCTCTATCTTTTAGTAATCTATCAACCCCAGTCTTGAATATATTCAAGGACTGAGTATCCACACCTTCTGGGTTAGAGAATTACACAAATTCACTACCCTCTGAATGAAGAAATGTTTCCTCAACTCAGTTCGAAAAGGCTGACCCTTAATCTTGAGACTATGACCCCTAGTTTTAGATTCTGCAACCAGGGGAAACAGTTTCACGTCATCTACCCTGTCAAGACCCTTAAGAATCTTATAGGTATCTATAAGATCACCTATAATTCTTCTATATTCTAGAGAATATAGGCCTAGTTTACTCAACCTATCCTCATAGGTCAACCCCATTATCCCAGGAACCAACCTAGTGAATCTACGCTGCACGCCCTCTAAGTCGAGTATGTCCTTTCTTAAATAAGGAGACGAAAACTGCACACAATATTCTAGGTGCAGTCTCACCAAGACGTTATACAGCTGCAGCAAGACTTCCTTACTCTTGTACTCTAACCCTTTTGCAATGAACGCCAACATGGCATTAGCCTTCCTTGTTGTTTGCTGTACCTACATACTAACTTTTTGTGACTGGTGTAAAAAAGGACACCCAAATCTCTCTGAACACTAACACTACCTGGTCTCTCCCCTTCTAGAAAATAATCCGCTTTTCTATTTTTACTACCAAGGTGAATAACTTCACACTTCCCCACGTTATACTCCATCTGCCACCTTCTTGCCCACTCACCAAGCCTGTCTATTTCCCTTTGCATTCTTCGTGTGTCATACTCACAGCTTACTCTCCCACCTATCTTCGTATTGTCCGCGAATTTAGATATATTAAGTTCTATTTCCTCATCTAAATCATTGATATAGACTGTAAATAATTGAGGCCCAAGCACTGATCCCTGTGGCACTCCACTAGTCACATCCTGCCAATCTGAGAAGGACCCGTTTATCCCTACTCTCTGTTTTCTTCCTGTTAGCCACTCTCCAATCCATGCTAATATATTGCCTTTAATTCCATGGGCTCTAATCTTATGCAATAGCCTTTTATGTGGCACCTTGTTGAATGCCTTCTGGAAATCCAAATACATCACATCTACTGGTTCCCCCCTATCTAACCTGCAAGTTACATCCGCAAAAAAACTCTATAAACTTGTTAAGCATGATTTCCCTTTTGTAAAGCCATGTTGACTCTGCCTAATCATGTTATGATTTTCTAAGTACCCCACGACGACATCCCTAATTAAGGACTCTAGAATTTTCCCTACCACCGATGTCAGACTAACTGGTCTATAGTTTCCCATTTTTTCTCTCCCCCCCCTTCTTAAATATCAGCGTTACGTTTGTGACCTTCCAATCACTGGGAACCATTCCAGAATCCAGGGAATTTTGGAAGATCAAAAACGAAGAATCCACTATTTCTGCAGCCACCTCTTTTAAAACCCTAGGATGCAGGCCACCAGGTCCAGGGCATTTATCGGTTTTTAATCCTATCAATTTCTCCAGTACTATTGCTTTACTGATTTTCGTTTCCTTAAGTTCCTCACGAACATTAGCCTCCAGGTTCCCCTCTATTTTCAGTAAGTTTTCAGTGTCCTCTAACATGAAGACAGAAACAAAATGATTGTTTAATGACTCTGACATTTCTTTATTCCCCATTATAATTTCTCCTGTCTCTGCCTGCAATTCACTTTTGATAGTCTCTTCCTCTTTATGTACTTGTAAATCTCTTACAATCTGTCTTTATGTTCCTAGCTAGTTTACCCTCATATTCCATTTTCTCCCTCTTAATCAATTTCTTGTTTTTCCTTTGCTGTTCTCTAAAGCTCTCCGAATCCTCAGGTTTACTGCTCTTTTTGGCAGTATTATAGGCCTCTTCTTTTAATTTTATATTTTCCCTAACTTCTCTAGTTAGCCAAGGTTGAACCACTTTTCTTGTGGTATTTTTATTTTTCAAGGGAATATGTGATCGTTGGGAATTATGTATTATATCTTTAAACATTTGCCATTGCTGGTCTACTGTCATTTTTTAAATCTAATTTCCCAGCCTTGGGCTATCACTGTGTTATATAATACGTCCCAGTGCTCTATCAAGACTACTGGCCCGATGAAGAGAAAGAGAAATAAATAAAAAGCTTTAAGATGTATTGCCAGCAAATCCCACAGGAAGGCAGGCCATGAAGCAAGAGGCATAAAAAAGGAATAGCAATGAAGAATGCAGTATCAACTCATGATGATACATGAGGGAGCTAGGCTACATTGTTATTGTTGCTCATATTGGCGTTTAATTTGCAAGATGTGTAAACCATTTGAAAATGAATGTTTGCAGTAGAAATTACAGGATGGCTTTATAAATGTTATTTACAAAGAATGAAACAGATTACAGAAGGCACAATCCTTTACATTGATTGCTGGTTACATTAATGAATGGCGCCTATAATTCCCTCTATACAGACGAGTTTACACACTGTGCATAATAGATTCACTCCTGTTGCTCTAAACCATTTTTTCCCAGCATTTCAAGATAGTGGAAGAACATATCTAACTCAGTCATCAATTCTTCCTCAAACCCCAGACCTTTGAAACAAAAGTAGACATTACTGAAACAATATTTGTTGTTTTATTCTTCTCTTTTCCATTTAGATTTTTGCCCTTCACCCAGGTTTCTCAATTACGTTTTTGATTTTGTAGCCGGTCTTTTAACATTGAACTGACTTCAGATGAGAGCCACCTAGAACTTCAAATCAGCACATTAATTGGGGAAAGATTTTGGCCATTTCCTGCATGTATTTTTGGGACTTTCCCGATTTGGGATTTGTCAACTGTCAACTTCTCAAACCTGAAGTTGTAATCAACACAAATCCAATTTGCAAATATAATAATAATCCTTGCAGTGATCGAGATGTCTCATAACGCGTCACAGGATTTTCCTGTAAAGTGGAATGACTGTAAATTTGTAGTGGAATGCTGCAACCAATTTGCTCACAGCAATGTCCCAAACAGCTGTGAAGTGAGGGGCCAATTTTATTTGGGGGAAATGAACGCACCATGGCAGATCATCAGAGTTGACTTCCTCTGCTAATGCTGGACTCTTTGACCACTAGTTATAGTTGGTGGGGGGAGCATCACCCCATTTGATTTGGGATTGGGCCAGATCTCTGTCAATCAGACCTCAGGCAGTGCCTGGATTAAAAAGTGTCAGAGCTGTGAAAGTGGCATTAATAGGAAGGAGTGGGTCAGGCAAAGCGTGCATATTCCTCAGGTCTGGAGGTCGCCATGACTGCAAGTCAAATTGTTTGTGGTCATGCAGTCAATTCCTTAACCAATGCAATTATCTGGATTAATTATACAAGTGTGAATGGACTGGCTATTTTTCATGCAGTAAACAAATTATGCAATTAATCAATATGCATTTGAGCAGGGTGCAATATTATACAAACAAACAAATAGAGAATTTTCAATATCGAGAAATTGCATTGTAATTAAATAGATATGAGGTCATCTGATATGAAATTAAGCAGAGTGTATTGTATTCTATTATGCTCTAGGTCAATTGGTTAAAATGGACTTTTGGAGCCCTAATTTACAATTTATTTCTCTACTTTCATTCATTTTCTATTTTTTTTAATAAATTAAACCGTTAGATCAGTTTAATGGGGCAGTTAATATTTAGCACATTGAATGACCCCCAAAGATTTGTGTTGCACAACCTTCCCCACACTGTTCTCAGTGGTCCAGTCAAACAAAGATAGCAAATAATTAGTATCCTTCTAAATATCAGTGGAAGGCTATAATCCTCAAATTGGAAGTCTGATGTCACAGTCAGCATTGTGGCTTTCACCATGAAAGATTTACTTTGGGTTTGTAAAGGAGATGAAAACATAAAACTCTTGAATTATCGCACACAGAAACCAGTAAGGTGATACTTCAACTATGAAATTATAAATGGAAAACTAGTTGCTGAGCAGCTTGTGGTATTAGTCATTGATATAGTAATAAATTGTTCACTTCAATCCATGACTGTTTGTGGGACACTGCTGTGCGCAATTGGCTGCCGCGTTTCGCCCACAAATATACAGTCAATTCACTTTACAGTATATTCAGTGAAGCACTTTGAGACATCTCGAAGACATGATATGGCGCTGTATCAAATGCAAGGATTATTATTATTATTGAAATACATAGGCCCTTCCCAGGTATCAGTACTCCAAGGCATTGTTGGTGATTAACCAGTTCGTTTGGCTCATAAATGACACTTGAAGTGTGTAGGGAAGTCACCTCTGGGATAGGATTCTTCCCACCTGATGTTTGATATACCTACAAGCTTATGCTGTAATGGGGAGTGTGGTCCTAACTGGACAATGAAACTGATCAGTAACTTCTAAGCTGCAGCATTTTAATTGGTTCAAATGCAAAAGGACCAGATATGCACTTTGAGGTCTTGGCTCCCGCCAACCTGTAACTATGTTCTCTGGACAAGGAAGTTATGTAATTTATGCAATTTTAGACATTTTGTATTCATTACCAATATACAATAAATTTGTTCCTTTATTTGGTTATTACCAAGATAAGACTATTGATACCCAATAGAATGAGATCTGACAAGCGGACTGTGTCCTTTGACATACTGAAGCCCAAAGTAATGTGTACCACAATTTCATGTTTAACCAAGTCTATTAAAAAATAAAAGGCTCACTTTTCCTCTTAGCTGACAATTAAATTGCGTGAACTGGAGATAGCATGCTTGTGGGGCAACTTTAATGAGACTGCAAAATAAAACAGAGTGAACAAATAGAGGTAAATACACTGCTACTAATATTGACTATATTAGAGTAAATAAACAATATAGAATAGATTCCAAATTGGAAATGCTAAACATTTTTGACATTTGAAAACACAACTACTCTCTGAGTTCCCAAGTGGTATAATTAGAGCAGTGTGACAGTATTGGTAGGATAATTACAGTCAAGATCAAGATCCATTTGGCATAAAATGTTTCTTGACGTAGTCGGCCATAGTTCCTGATCTCTAAGTGGAATCTGGCTCTCTGCCAATATAAGGTTCGATTAACTTAAATAAAGCTCAGTGAGAGGTTACCTGATTAAATTGTAACGCAATCAATGCTTCAGGTTTAAAAACACACCAACTTTGCAAAAATAATGAGAACAGTAATAAAGTGAAAAAAATCTGAAATATGAGTGAAATCGATGGAAGAGAGCAAGAAGTGTGCAAAACTGCAGTGTAAACAGTGAGAATGCTTGCAACAAGAAAGCCTGATTTACAAATGATTCCTTGCACTGGGCTGTGGGAGTTTATGCTTATTGAATTTCAGTCCTGAAGCAGCAAGAAGTAGCAAGAATAGATATTTAAAGAAGAATGTGAAAACCTCAGAGTCAGAGCTAAATGTGGCATAGCACACCTGGAAATAATAATGCATCATAGACATTGTAAAAAGGAAGTACATCAAGTCAGCCTCGTAGCACCAGGAAGGAAATCTACCTGCACAACATTTACAAAATAATTTTTAAATCTTTATTTAATGAAAGAAAATTTCAGTGTGTATGAAATTGAATATACAAAAACTTTACATCAGTCCTGCAAAACAAAACACAAAAAAATAAAATCCTTAAACTGGAATATCTGAGCATTATTTTCTGCATGAAAGAGAAAATGGATGAAAAAAGAGCTCACTGGAGATCAGACTATGCTAAGATTCCCAGTTACACAGAAGTTCCAAATATAAATCTACACAATGTTCTTCTGAAGAACCCAACTCGTCTGTAACACAACGTTTTAAAACCATGAAATGCAACAAACTATTCATTTAATCAAATCATTGCAGCCCCTCCCCTGCACCCACCCCCCTCCCCGAGCAAAAAAAAATCTTTCCCGGTTGAGTCCACAGTAACATCCCTTCATAAAAGGGTGAATGAAGAATTTACTTTATGTTAACAGATCACAAAGTTTCTGCATTTGTGCAGTGTCCTGTAAGATCACTGCAGCTATCGATCCTCATTCTTTGGCATAGCACACCAATCTACTGTAATATTACTACATTCCAGAAAAAACTTTTGTTTAAAAAAGGGAATTTTACTCCCATTCTGTTGTTAAAACAATGCTCATAAGAATAATTCTTTTAGTTCATTTGTAATCAGGTTACTAATTCTGGCAATAGTGAATCTACAGATTGGCAAATCTTACAACATTCCAGGATGTTACGTTAAGTCTGAGATCTGTTACATTAAGTAAATTGTTATCCCACATGTGCATCAAATAAAATCATTCAGCTCTGCTTCAAGCGCTGCTGCCATTTCGTCAGCTTCTGAACTGCTGTCGTCCTCATTGCTGGAGAGTTTGCTGGAATCACTGCCGACTTCATCTTCCTCCAGCTTCCGTTTGTGCCCCCTTGAACCACAGAAAATAAGAACCATTATTGGAGGGAAAAGCACCTTGTCCACCAAGGTCACAAGTATCAGTGTGGGAAATGCAACGAAAATCCCACATTGCCTTTCCATAAACACCACCAAATCTACATTTGTATAAAGCCAAATCGAAAAGAAATACCCTTCTGTTTACCCTTCTAGCATTCTACTGATTTACATGGATCCCTTCCATGGGTATTATGAGCCCACTCCCATCTTCCCTCCCAAGATACCCGCCCACAGCTAAATCAGCTGTTTGAAGCACTTTCAGATGTCCTTATAATAATAATAATAATAATAATCCTTACATTTGATATAGCGCTTTTCACGTCGGGAGGACGTCCCAAAGCGCTTCACAGAACACACTGTAAAGTGAATTGACTGTATATTTGTGGCCAATTGCGCACCGCAATGTCCCACAAACAGTCGTAGATTGAAAATGACCAATTTATTATTGTTTTGGGTTTTTGGAGGGATTATTATTAGGTGTGTGGAGTAAGGAAACTTGCCCAAGGTTTCGCCCTCTGCCTGGAATTGAACTCAGGTCTCTCGCTTGCAAAGCGAGTGCTCTAACCACTGAGCTACAGGACTCCACTGTATTTATGACATAAAGGTGTAATATAAACATTGTTGGGGTTAATAAATTGGTTGTTGGTTTAAATACAAATAAGCATAGTGATAGTTTTCCATTTGTATCAGACATCCACCTGTCCAAAACTCAATTTGTGAAAGGAAAATTTTTGTCACATTGTTAATTATTTTTCCCAGTCCACACAAGCTAAATCCACTCACCAAGCATGAAGTGAATCGTTTGGCTAATATGGTAATGTTGATAAAGCTAAAACCCACAGAGCACCCCATTGTTTAGAGGTGACTGCTTTGAGGTGAGATGTTAATCACAGAGGTCTGTAGTTCATCTCCATGGTCCATCAGATGAATGTCATCAAATCCATAACACCATTTGAAAATAGAAGGGAGTTTCTCTCAACAAGCTCCAGATAATTTGCTCGTTCAAATCTAATATTTGTGGAAATATATCGACGGAATAAGACTCTACATAAAGAAAATCTTATTTACCTTCTGACAGGCAGAAACTCCATGGAATTCTATAATCATTGGGCAAGTTAATTTTAATTTAATATTTTGTGGACTGTGAAGTCAAAAAATATTTTCAACATTACAGCACAAAAACTACTCTGATATCTGACAAAACAGTTTAGCCTCTGCACTCACTTTAGAATTTTAGACATTTTCTCGGTATTCTTTTTCTATTTTTACTATTGTAACTTTTATATTTGCCTGAATTTTATTACCAGTTACAGCTCAATACACTGAAGTTTGTGTCACTGGGGTTGAATGTGGGCTTCTCTTGAAGCTTTAATTGTCAGAAAAATTTACCCTTTGCCACATAAATTGTTTTCTGACCAATTTTATCTGGGCAGGACCTGGGAGAAGCTCCCTTATTTAAAAAATATTGCCATAAGATCTTTGACATCTACCTGAGCAGGGAGACGGGACCTTGGTTTAACATTTGAAGGATGCTACCTCTGACAGTGCAGCACATCCCCAGTATTGCACTGGATTGTCAGCCTAGATAAACTATGAGCTCAAATGTGGTTATGACTATGATGTGTGGTTCAAATAAATAATGTAGAGTCTGTAGCTCAGTGGTTCAATTCCCGGCAGGGCAAAATGTTGGGCAAGTTTCCTTACTCCACACACCCCAGTTTACCTAGCAGTAAGTAGGAACCTGGTTGTTAGTCAATTGCGGTTCACTTTTCCGGGGGTAATAATTCCTTCAAAAAAATAAAATTGGGTCACTTCAATCCACGACTGTTTGTGAGACACTGCTGCATGGAAATGGCTGCCGCGTTTTGCCCACAAAGTATAGTCAATTCACTTTACAGTATATTCTGTGAAGCGCTTTGAGACGCCTCGAAGATGTGATAAGGCGCTATATCAAATGCAAGAATCATTATTATTATAATCTCCTAACTCAGAAATGAGAGAGCTACCAAATGAGCCATTCCGACATCTATGACCACTCGATAAGGTAGTTTGTTGGTGTCTCAGAGATCTCTCAGTCACTGCAAATGAGGAATTAATGCACAGCATCTAATTTGCCAGAACAAACTGTGAAGTGTTCACACCTTATGTAAATCCCACAAATAGTCATTATATTGAATAATGGATTCTGCAAATATAATTTAAACATTTCCCTCCTTTCAAAGAACATCCAGGAATCCATATGCAGTGCCAAGTGGCATTTATTTTAGCTGATCACATTACTGCAGATTTGTAGAAAAATCATTTGCATTCCACTTTTCATACACACATTGAGGGCAATTTGATGCAATAACATAAATTAATATGCATCTCTTCTATTTATTTAATAATATAATGAGATGTAGCACATCGACGGGTTCCTTGGATTAGCTTGCTGTGCACTCCCCGCTTCCCACCTCCCAAGACACGCTCTCCAAAAGTCATGTTGCCCACAACTCTATGAGGCCCGCAACTCTTTTTGGTCTTTGTTTTGTCAACCGAATGTCTGAATCGAGCTCCCCCTCACCACGCCGGAGGTCCAGCTAGTCCAGTTCTCGAGCCAGGCGGATCTGCTGTACTCCAGGGCACTGCAAACCAAAGCTCTAATGGGTAGAGTGTTCCTAACTGGACAAGCAGCGGGAAAGCTTTCGAGACAGTGCTCTCAATGGCCAGCTATGTGGTTTTTGGTGGTCAGACTCCAGCAACATCCCAACACACACTCTGGTTTCTCACACATGCAGAAATCCATCACCATGCTTAAGAGTGTCTAAACTAAACAGAATTCCATGCATCCCACCTATACTTGAAACTTCCAGAAATGTTTATTAGAATAGGATGCACCCTCTTGCCCTGCATCCTGCTTACCTAAATGTTAGGCACAAGTTGGCAAGAGTCTTGCTCCCGAACTTTAAGGTGTCTCAGGTAAGTTAATGCTGAACAGATCCAGGATATAATTTTGTCTCATTCACTTTGCCTTAACAATTGAAAGAAGAATCAAGGTACATGCACACAATCGCTGAAGGTAACTGGAGGCAGCTTGAAATGCTGTGTGAATTTGTTCAATCCCATTAATCAGAGCAGTAGTGAGTGTCTCAATCACACTGAACACAGTCACCTCGTGCTCGCAGACTTCCATTCAATCTACTCTGCAGTTGATGGTGAAGATGTTCCTCAGGAGTTGCCTGGTACAGTGAACTGCAGCAGATTCTTTGTGACTTTTCTATGTAGAAAGATTGCTGCTTATCATACTTAGAATAAGCAAGTAAAAGAAGGAACTTGCATTTTTATAATAGCAATGAACCTTGTAATTGACATAGTGCTGTATCAGTTTGTCAAAACGTCTCAAAGTCCTTCACAGGATTTACTGTAGAGTGCAGTGACTTGTAGACAATCATGTTGTAGCTCCCTGTCACACTGAAATCTTTTGAAACCCCTCATGAGTATTTATTGTCAAAAGCAGTGATTGCTTTTGCAAGGAAACACAGCAATCAGCAACATTTCACAAACAGTAATTACGAGAATGACAAATTTTATCTGGAGGATTGTTAATCAGAACAATGGGAGATACTCCCTTTTCTATTCAAATAATGTCATGGGATCTTTAACATCAAACTGAAGACAGATTTCCAGAGGTGTTATTCACTGCTTAACCCAGTGCCGGCCAAAATATGACTTGTGAGCAGGTTCCGGCCCGTAGAGCCGTCAGAACCGGTCCTCCAAACATTCGCACTAGTCTAGGTAAGTCTATGTTTGATCGGTAATATGCTTCCAGGTTTTTCTTGATGTTTCTTCATTTAATATTTTGTGATTTATGGCGTAAATCAAGAAATATTCAATCAAGAACATTTATTTTGTTGGTCGACCAAATCAATTGTCCACCAGTGGGTTAATCTATCAATATATTAAGAACAGATTCTGAATGCTTAAATTGCATTTATGATTATGGATCATCAATCCTCAAGCACCTTTGAGCAAACAATATGCACCATGAATCATTTATGTTGCTTTTAGTGTCCTAATTCAGCAATTGTCATCATGATTTATGCAGGCGAGCACATTTGTGGATCATTTTCTTTGTGGTTTTCCTTCAGATCTTGTTACAATCATTGAGGTTGAGCCTACATGATTGCACTTTAATTCTTTAGATTTTTTTGCTCAGCTGAGTCTCTGACAAATGTGGAAATCCATCATCGTTGATTAACAGGATAAAACCAGAGTTCCACATATGTAAGCCATCTACACATGGAAAGTTCTGTGTCTGGAATGGAGGGTGTAACCTTCCTTCTTAAATCCAAAGAGTATTAGGCGCAAGTTGGCAAGAGCGAAGGATTAGGGACTCAGGGTATGCGTTCGGGTACTGCTGGAGTCAAACCAGCTAAAGCTGGATTGCTTGCCGTTGAAAGCACAACCTGTAAAGCTTCCCCACTGCTTGTCCAGCTAGACCACCCTACCCGTTAGGGTTTTGGCTTGCAGGGTTAACAAAAACTGAGTGGGAAAAATCGCTGCTCCCAGTGACTGATATTCCTCAGATAAATATTATGGTGGTTGTTGAATGAGGACATAGTAACTGAATATCGGAAATTAAGTTAAATTTAACCAAAAAGAATAATGAGGTGAATGAGTTGACTGCTTCTGAGTAACATTGCAGTTTGTTACCCTGGCAAATGTTTCCTAATCATTCATATTCAAGGTATTTGGAGAGATTTAGGAGCCTGACTTTTGTCTGATGGTTGCTATGCTATTTCACTTTCATACCACATTAGAAATATACTGCAGCCATGTTGCTATGCAACCAGCAGATCTGGTAAAATCAATAATTAATGAATAGTTAATTAAAGCACTCATTGCAGAGTGAACCTTAAATTCTCTGGTTGGATCGATGGATAAGTGATAAGTTTCCTTGCCTCTGTCATTGCTGCTTTGCAGAAAACCCAAATC